ATATATATATATATATATATATATATATATATATATATATATATATAAAGGTGTTTTAAACCCTTCTCACACTCTTGCAATATTCTAAACAATGTTTCTAAACTCTAAAGCTCTAAAAGAGCACTGAATGTCATGATTTCAGCTCTCTGCCTCCTCTGCTCTTTGCCACCTGCAAGCGTTCTTGGCCACGCCCACTTCTATGCTCTTCATAGTGAAGAGCTGATCAGCTGCAGCAGGAAGTTTATCCTGCAGTATGGGCTGCACAGATGTGCAGCAGGTTATAAATAATTTTAAACAATTAATTTTAAATTAAAAAATCCATGCCGATCGTGCGGCTCATCCATCTGTCAGCCAACTGTGTGTCATGTCCTCTCTTATTTTGAAAAAACGCAATAGAGCGAGTCTGCGATAAACTTAACCACGAAGTAGCGAGGGTCTACTGTATACAGATGATCAAAAATATATTTAGAGCAAAAATATATGGACAAATATAGAACGAGGCTATTTTTAATTGAACGCGCTGCTCGCTTCGGCTTTTGTAGCTTCAGATGCTGCAACTTCCTTCACTGCAGATGAGAGCAGGGTGCGGAGTGGGACGCGCACGTCTGGTGATCCATCCGGCCAGTCAGCGGACGCGCGGCCGATGATCCGGTTGTCCATCTGAAGCTTAACTGGACTTTTTAAAACATCTTTCAACTGGCCGATCAACGGACATGCGCGGCCGATGATCCGGTTGTCCATCTGAAGTTTAAGACTTTTTTTTAACCTCTTTCAACCGTTCGGTCGGACCTGAGCTTTGTAGAGTGAGTCCTCCCATTTTTAGTTTTTGTTTGATACTTTCCAGCTCCGTTATGTCGCTTGTTGTGGATCAATTATAAATCCTCATGTGTGATAAGAGCAAAGGGCAGGCAGGGCTACATGCACAATGGTTGCGCAACGCACCAGTGCAACTCTCTCTTTTCACAATCTGATTAACTGCTGCACTCTATTTTATTTCTTTCTTATCCTCAACATATAAACTTACTGCCTCCTCCTCAACAAGTAGATAACACGATTTTATATTGTGCATCCTTATTTAGTTTTCTTTGTGCTGTATGATTCGTAACACCACATCAAAAGCTCGAGACTGACCCGGCCCATCTATCAAGCACATAATTTTGGCTCGACCCGGCCCGAATTTTGGGTCAAAAATTGCAGCCCCATGCCAAGCCTGCTTGGTCTTTAACAACTTTCAAAATGTACACGTTTACATCGTTGACGTGCATTTGAGGAAAAAATCTTCTATAAGAAACAAATGTTTTTATCTTTTATTAGGTATCATTAAGGATGTAAATTCTGTTAGACTCTAAGCTCAGATTTATCAGGAAAAACACCGTTGTTGTTCTGTTTTATAATTTATCTACATATTCTCTTACACCTCAAAATGTTTGGTAAATTAAAGCAATATTACGTTTAAAAATTGCAATAGTGTGTGATTCATCTTATCCTAAACATAGTCTGGATTCATAATGGGTCAAGTAAAAAGTGTTAGTCTCAAACTTCCTTTATTTAAGGGTCAGATCAACTTTGTTTTTCTAATGTCTAGAGTAGAAATGTAAATTGTTCATAAATAAGTGGTCTCTGAAAGAGGGATCTAAAGACGTATCGTGACAGCAGCAGCGTTTTTCTTTAGTTTTTTAAGGCTCGGGCTGAACGAGCGCTCTCAGGTTGTTGCACAGCACCAGAGACTGCGCAGCCGTGCTCGACCCACGGCAATGATCATGCAAACAATGTTTGTAAGGTCTTTTATCCATCTCTTCTCGTGTGTTAATGGTGGTGTCGGCTAAATGTGAAGCTCAACGTGACTCTTTTGTTGCCCAGTCCACATTATCCCCAGGTCCAGTTTTCATACTGAAGTTTAAATGACAAATTCAAGTCGTGGTTTATGATTTTTTGGGGAAAAAGGTGGAAATTTTGTCTTATTTTTTAGATTAAAAGTTTAGAGATTCAAATTCACAGTTATGAGCTAAAGTCTCAAAATGTCCAACATCTTTTCTGCACTTGGCCAAGAATCTAACTGCCGTTCTTTTAGGTGGAGAAAGAAAAATGTAAGATCTGCAGGACGAGGACTTTAAAAAAGTTTCCACAAAAAAATCCCAAAGTTAAAGAACTAAAATGTTGTTTAAACCAACATTAATATATGTTATTGTTTGACTAATTTTTAAAAATATTTTTAAGGTAAAATGATTTTTCAAATGTGAACATTTGAATTTGTTGTGCTACTGAGTCTGCAGTGTGAAACTCGTGTTCGTGCACAGTTTGCCGTGCTCGGCTGCAGGCTGATTGATAATGTTGGCAGTCAGAATGAAGCCAAAATCAATTAGCTGTGCAAAGAGTCTTGTAAGGGTAATAGAATGAAATGACAACAATAAATCTTATTTTTTTCTGCCCTTTTTTTAAGACACTTGAGATAAAAGGAAACGGTTTTGCTTCTTTGTCTTTAATGAGTAAAGGTAACACTTCATTTAAAATGTAAGTGTTTCACTAAAAGTAGAGGGTTCTGTGTTGCTGAATATCCAACAAGTTCTTTTAGGAACATTTCGTAAAATCAGATTTTTTTCCTCTCATACTGCTAAACCAGCAGAGATAAACTGGTTTTTGCTTTGTCATCTAGTGCCCATCTGCACAATTATTCAATTCAGTTCAATTCAGTTTATTTCTATAGCGCCAAGTCACAAGAGAAGTCGTCTCAGGGCACTGAACAGAAACATTCATATTTTAAAATAATAATTTAACATTATTTATCTGAGGAGCAGACTGCTGTGAGTTTAACTCCATCGCAGAAACTCTCATCTTGAGCAAGCATGAAGGCGACAGTGGACAGGAAAAAACTCCCTCATGAGGAAGAAACCTTTAGCAGAACCAGGCTCAGGA